TGATTTTATCCGCCTATATCACCGGCATACAAGTTAAGATATGGCTTAAAATCTCTGCCACAGAAACCTATGGTAAATAGCCACTATTCACTAAAATACAACTTCCATTTTCTCGAAAATTAGGCTGGTGACCCCCAATTTTTCGATGGAAAGCCGAAAGGTAATTTATTACGCAAATTAGGTAATACTCATAGATGTATATAAACCAAAATATAAAAAGATTTTTGTATTGCCTTAGAGTATTTATGTACCAAGATTCATGAAAGAAAAAGTACTTAAGATATTAATGGAAAAGGGTAAACCGATTAATTATTATGCCAAAAAAAAAAATATGTAAAACTGAGCAGGTCCGTGCATTGTCCTAGGGGCATCATTGTACCAGGTTTCATTGAAATGGGATGATTAATACTAGAGGTATCAGTGTAATAACAGACAATTGGCAAATTATTTGATCAATATGCACAGATTTCAAACCAAAACTAATCAGGTCTGTGCAAAGTCCCAGAGCATAAATGTACCAAGTTTCATTGAAATTTAATTAATAGTTCTTGCAATATGAGTGGAAACCGAAGATTTACCTATTATGCAAATTGGGTGATTATTATACGCGGATATTAACCCCAAATTATCAGTTCTGTGCATTGTCCTATGACATCTATGTGCCAAGTTTCATTGAAATGTGATGATTAATACTTCAGATACCAGAATAAAAGCCGATAATTGTTTAACCATTATATGTCTGCCATTCGATTCGAAAAACGGCATAACAAGAACAATTACTGCAATCATAATTGTTATTTTTCATAGCGTCTAATTGTAGAACGAATGAAAGATAATTCCCTACACAATTTGTTAGTTTGCTGTCCTGTAAAATAGAGAATCCCAGTGATCTAGCGTGTACGTTATATTGATGCGCAAACTATTGTTGATGAAATATCGCGTCGTACAGTCTTTATAAATTTGTTCGTAAGATTTCACAACAGATAGTTACATGCAGTGAATTGCGAAATAATGAAAAATCAATTAAGGTTTCGCAATTTGCGATTTATATTTTGACTTTGTATTTTACAGCTTTGAAATAATCCATTTTATTTTATTTAAGTGAATTATTATCTAACAATTACAGTTGTTATAGGTCCGAGGCTAATGACAGCCTAGTGAATATTTTCTGGTATCTAACATTTTTGTTTTTGACGTAATATCAAATGATGAAATTGCGGTAAGTAATCACAATTTACATTTTATCTGTGATTCCCGAAAATAGGATTTTGAAGTGAACGACGAAAATCAAAATCCTATTTTCAATTTGGGATTTTTCATTTTATTGAATCGCTAGGAGGCCTCAGTTATTTGCACATTTTGAACAATCAACATCTCAAAAAGTATTCCAGCTAGATATTAGAAATTTTCCACAAAGGATAGTATATAATACATACAATTATTATTACATTTATAGTTATTACTAAAACATGTTTACGTAGTATTATCCAAAGTTAAAGACTAAACTAAAATATATAAATAATATATACATATATACAGCTGTTGTGGTATGTTACTAGGTTTCCTCATTAGATTCCTCATTGTATGGGTTCTGACAAAATGGCCACTACAACTACAGGCACCGGTACAATGCAGTCTGTTAAGGTGACAGCTACACTGAAATGAATATGTCATAGCTTCTAAAGTTGCAATGTATTACAATTCCCTGGTACAGAAACATCGGCCATCACTTTTGGTTTCATCTCTCAACTAGTTTCAGCATACCATCCATTGACTACTCGTGAACAGAAAAGTGGTTGTGAAATGGGAAATGATAGAGGTGTTGCGGCAACCTCCCGGGATATTTGCTACCCTTAAAAAGGAGTATGTAGCAGACATCATTGATTGCATCATCTATTTGATTTGGTGTGTACATTCTACATACGAACACTAAGATCATCAAACACATCAGCTTGTTCTTGTAATACTTTCCAAGTGGATGTTTCACCTAGATCACAGAACTATGTGACAGTGTCGATTCCTGTTACTGTTCTCTTCAGAAAGCTACCTAAAATAACTACCGCACATTATTCTAAATTAGCTCTTGCACTAGTAACCAGTTGCAGGCTTTTGTTATATAATTCGATTGATCAGCTCTATATTCAGAGAAATCAATGAACTGCTTCTAGTTCATTGGTGTGGAACATCTCTGCTACTAATTCTGCGTTGAATCGGTCCACAACCGCTAGTTCTTTGAACTCGTCTGGCATGTTCATTTGTAGATCATAATGATCGAATACAACATCTACTCTAGAACAAGTACCAGTGAAGTGATTGAACAAAGTTGATGTAAATGTCATCAAGATTTTCAAATGATCTCAATTCTGATGGTTTTCCAATTGCTTGTGTCTAGGTCATGTATTATAAAATATATTGAAATCTGTTGTTGAAGGAAAAACATTTTACAACATCTTTTTTGGACTAGATATTTACAGAGAATTTGTTTTCAGATCAACTTCACGACCAGCATATATTGATATTATTAAATGTTGAAAACATTTTCTACCAGCTTTTTCTGACACGTTATACTTTGAGCTTGATACATGGTTTTCCAAAAGTTGGACTTTTGAACATTTGAACAAGTTGCAACAAGAAGGTGGTCTCTCATTGGTATTTATTGTTTACATTTTATAGTGCCTGGTCAGTGGGTATGTGGTTATATGTGTTCTGTGATGTTTTCACAACAAAGTTTGCAGCAGGAAATTCACTATGTACATCAAGATGAGTAGATTCTAGCTGCACTACATCTACAAGATACACTGTCCCATCGTGTATAATGCGATCCACACTACATAGCTGATCGTCTGGCTGATCGAAGTTTGCAATCTGTTTAAAACCAGTCCACCAGGGACTGATTTGCTCTTATAGTTATAAATGCGTTTGATTGCAAATGTCATGTATTTTATATTTGCTTGTTCAGTGTAACTCGTGTAACTCTTGTTGCCTACGAGTACAAGACTGGATACTTTTTCTAATTAGTGAAAATGACATGTTCTGTCTTTGTACCAAATCTGGCTCATGTTGTTGCTACACCTTTGAATGCTACAATATGTGTAGCTATTCCATCAGAAGTTTCTTTCTATGACATATGCTACAAACTGAACAAATTTCCTTGCTTCAAGATCTGTGGGGAGATTCATTCGATTTATCTATCTTTATTCATTACCATATATTTTTATTTTCATTTTTTGCATGTAACGCAATGAAAAACTAGCACACCCAGCTTTAATTTGGTCAATATTTGTTTCGAAGGTCAGAGTAAACACCATATTTGTAATCGGTCAATGAGAACGCCTCCCGCCCTAAAAATGGTTACTCGACGCGATCTATGACAACATTGTATGTTTTCGCGCTCGTTTTGAGGAGTTGCGTTTCAGTTGTTTATGAGTTAACATCTGCATGTATGTTGTTGAAGAATAAACGAGATTGAGTTCTAGTTTACATGACGTGTTCGTTTCAGTTTTCACTACCGTGACTGGGAAGATTCGAACCATCTCTTTCCCCCACAAGATCAGATGGTATTGGTATACTGCCATTTGCAACATATCGATTCATATTTCGTCTTTCAAGTGTTGCTGGAAGAAGTTTCACTTGACTATAACGTATGCAATGCCTTGCATGATGAACGAGCTCCAACACGGATTTTGATGTTGCTTGAGCAGTCATACCAATGACTATAAGCTTTGAAGTGAGTTTCTTTCCTTTAGATACAGCATAGGCTATATAACATGAGTGTTAACTTTACGCTCACCTGGCATAAGTAGTTACACATTACGTTTTGTTGTATACAACCCCGGAAGTTCGAAAGTCACGCAGCTACTGCTAAATCAACAGTCGATGTATTCAAGGAACTGAGAATTGAATTGAGTAGTATAACATAAAACAAGGAGTAGAACCACATTCAGCTGTAAAGTGTAGTAAATCCTGCTGTTCACAATTAATCCATACTAGAATTACAACTTTTAATTATGTTATTTTAATGATTTGTAGTTCTTGCAGTAAACAATTTTCTTCAACAAAAGCATATATAAGAGGAATAGCAACACTTCGAACACAAATAAAATTATGGTAAGAAAACATTTTGGATTAAGTTCTTTATTTCGCAAGTAATTTATTTATAGGATTCAAAACACAAAAAGCAAAATCAAATCAAAACTTTAATGAATAATGTTGCAAGACCACTATACACTATACAATGTGATAATAGGCAAAAGTCACAAATGCAAATTTGAATTTTGTCACCTTCGAATTAAAAACACTCAGAAACAACTCAGAA